TTTCTGTTTGGTCATTGCCACCCCCTCTTCACTGTATGCTGCAATTTCTTGTAATCCTGTCCACTGTCGTCAGTCCTTTCTGCGTCCTATGTCTTTTTATGTAGCCTCTTCCTCTGAATGCTGTCCTGTACTTCCTTGTTCCACCACCATGTTTCCTTATCTCCTTTCCTTCTTCCAGATGGCACACCTAGCACCTTCCTACCTGTCTCCCTGATCACTTTTGCTGTAGTTTCCCAGTCATCTGGAAGTTCTTCCTGACCACCCAAAGCTTGTCTCAACTTCTGTCTGAATTCCTCACAACATTCTTTCTTTTGCAACTTCCACCACTTGGTCTTCTTTTCTGTCTTTCCTCTCCTCTTCTTCCTGACCACCAGAGTCATCATACTCCTACCTACACTCTTATATGTAACTCTATGTTCCTCCCTCTTCTGGAAATAGGTGTTAACTACAGCCATTTCCATCCTCTTAGCAAAATCCACCACCTTCTAGGTTCCTTACTTTGACACCAAACCTGCCCATCACCTCCTCATCACCTTTGGTCCTCTCACCAATGTGCCCGTTGAAGTCTGCTCCAATCACCACTCTCTCCCCTCTGGGAATACTCTCCATCACCTCATCTAACTCACTCAAGAATCTCTCCTTCTCTTCTAACTCACACCCTACTTGTGGAGCATAACCACTAAACCACTGTAAATGTTAAATGTCTCGCCAAGTGTAAAACTGAATATTTAGGAGCTGCACAGCCTTGCCCTATTACAGCGGAGCACACAGCCCTGCCCATGATGCTGAACTCGAATCAGCAATGCTGACTCCAAGACCTCAAACACAGCCCCGCCCACAACTGACTCTGGGTTTGAAGTCTTTTAGTCAGCATCACTGATTTGAGTTCAGCATCATGGGCGGGGCTGTGTGCTGCGCTGTAATAGGGCAAGGCTGTGGAGCTACTAAATATTCAGTTTTACACTTGGCGAGAATTTAACATTTAAATGTAACATTTACATTTAACATTTAACATGTACATTTATATTTAACATTTACATTTAGACTTTGTCTGCAATGGATTGGCGACCTGTCCAGGGTGTACCCCGCCTTCGCCCGATTGCCGGCCGGGATTGGCTCCGGCCCCACCCATGACCCCACTCAGGGATTAAGTGGTAGAAAATGAATGAATGAATTTAGACTTTGTCACATTTAGCTAAATGTGAGAAAACTTTTTGTCACATTCAGCTGTCTACAAATCCTTCTACCTCCTCTCCTTCTTCAACCAACAATAGTCCAATTTCCGCCAGCACCCTGTAGATCAACAGCACTGGTGGCGGTCGTTGTTAACCCGGGCCACGACCGATCCGTTATGGGATTCACACTGATGATTTGCATGTTTAAATTTGGCATGTTTTTACGCTGGATGCCCTTCCTGATGCAACCCTCTCTATTTATCCGGGCTTGGGACCGGCACAGAAGTCACTGGCTTGCAATCCCTGTGGCTAGATTAAAGTTTATGCTTCTCTGTAAGTCTGAAATAACAAATACATGTCTATTCATATAAACAAGGCTATGAATCATTTTCTGGAAAACAAATGTGTTTATAAAAACATGCCGGAACATGTTACCAATCTGAAAGGTGGCAGGTCCCACCCACTGTCTTCAGGTGACAGGGCAAACTGACTACAAATCCCATGTGCTCTTGCTCTTAAAGACTACATATTATTATGTTGTCAAATCACACACCCACGTGCATTATCAACATTATACAATTAAACATACATTTTATTACATGTAAAAATGGAATGAATACTAAAGCTGCAAACCAATACTTTTAGGAAAATGTCAGTGTGAGTGTAAATATAGATGATAGACCATGGCTCATCATGCCCTGTTAAAATTCAACTCAGATAAAAATCATGCTGAACACTCAGATCTGAAAAAATACAAAAAATAAAACAAAAAACCTTGCACAACTAATGATTACTAAACCCTACCTATTGCATATACATAAAATACATAAAATACAGCATAGACTGGTTGCATTTTGAGCACTGTTAAGGAGGTATATAGCCCAGAATCACAACATGAATGCCTAATAACAGATCAGAGAACTTTTGTGGTGTATTGTGAATAAAGTCTGCAACAATAATGATTTGTCTCAACCTAGGTAACGCCAGCACCCTATAGTGTTTTCCAACATAGCACTTGAAGTCAGAGAGGAACGCCCCATGCAACAGTTAAGAAAATATGCCATAGAATAAGAAGTGAGGGTTTTATCCCTAACATAGAGACACACATGGAAAATGCTCTAAGAAAAGTTGTATAGTTGCCAAACACTGTTTGTATGATATAAAAGTTTGGATACAGAATAAACACCACATGGAGAACATGCAAACTCCACACAGAAAGGCACCTGGTCATCCAGTGCTCAAACTCAAAACCTTCTTGCTGTGAGGTGACAGCGCTAACCACTGCACCACTATGCTGCTTTCAAAATAATCTTTCAAGCTTTCATGACCTTGATTATTTATAAAACTCCACAACTGGGCAGATGGATAGAAAAGAACACTTGCTGTTTCCGCTTCAGCAATCGCTCCTAAGCAACCCTGGTTGGTGTTGCAAGTTATACAATGTTTCTGTAAAAAAGATTTGTTGCCAATTATTAGTTGTTTTCTCAGTGTGGAAAATCGATTTAAAATATGAACAGGCAAGTGATGAACTGTGGGTGTGTGTTTCACACTATGGCTCTTGCGAACTGTTACACAGCCACCTGGCTGAGACTCGGCTGCTTGAGAAGCACTGGGGGATGGCTAGCTTGGGCTGAGCTACATCTAGGATGCCTTACACCAGCTACATGGGCATAGCTAGCTGGGCTGTTTTCTATGGTGCAGAGCCACACTTCCAAATTAGTAAGCCTCGCCCACAATGCTGCTAGCATCAGACATTTATTACAACTACTAAAGGAGGCAGAAGAATAATTGAACATGCGAAACAGGAAGTGAATAGGATTACTGCAGGAACAAGAAACTGCAGGGGAATAGCAAAGTCATTGACAAAGATGGTGTTAAGGTTAGCCCCCCTCGCCAGGAGGGTGAGGGAGAACTAGGGGTAGGACACAAGATAGCTGACCCAGGTGCTAGTACAAAAAAAAAGGTTTAATGGGGAAAAACAAGACAAATGACAACGTAACATAACAGGGTCCATAATACTTACAACAAAGGAAGGGCAGTGATAAAGGAGACCAGGCTGAACAGGTGCACAAACAAACGAACGGTAGGAAAGAGGGTAAGTATAGTTCAAGAAGCAAAGCTGCGGTGATGAATCAAAATGTATGTGGTGTAGTGGGAATAGCGTATGTAATGTCAAAGGAGTCAAGCCAAAATGCCCAGTAACTGTCAGCATAGCCTTCCAATAGTCCATACAGAACAAGGTGAAGTGTGGGCACGGAGCAGGTTAATGTGTGTGTAGTGTAGCGCCTATGTCGTGTGAATGGAGTCAAGCCAAAACGCAACAGTAACTGTCAGTGTAGCATTCCATTAGAGCATACATAAAGCGGCGCTATGTTGTGTAGTATATCAGTAGCTAATTTTGGATAATGTACAATATGTTAGCTACTGTTAGCTAATGTTCCAAAGACAGAGCATCTGTCAGAGGTTTAAATAAAGGAAGAAGGTAATCATCAGGATGCACCCCAGCTGTGTGCGTTGACAAACCAGTTACTAATTACTGGAATGCAACACAGCTGAGGTGCAGAGCCCAGAAAACGGAGAAAACAAAGAGACAGAAACGGAGGAGAGGCAGCGGCCGCCGAGTGGCCCTGACAGATGGTAGGCTAACTTTACCTCACAGAACACAAGAGCTGCTGGTCTGTCGCTGCTGTTGTGTTAAATGTTTTGTCAAATGAGTCCGGTGGCTTTGAAGATTCAACAGCTTCAATTCGCTGTCAGAACGGGCTGTCTGATGATAAGGTAATGTAGTGAAAATATCAAATCATAGTGTTCTAAATATAGTGTTCACATCCATCTATGCTCTGACTTCATGATGGCTACATGAATGGAACGCTAAATCTGTACATTCCACTGTGTAACTGAAGTTTAAAAAGGTAGAAATATAGGTGTCACAGTCCTCCTTTCAAATAGGCTAACCAAGCTAACAGTAGCTAACCTAATTCTTCCTTCTTCTGTTTCTGGAGGAGTGTTACTTGAGTAACATAATGTGAGGGAGCCTGGATTGAGTGACTTAACATGAGGAGGCGTGGGTTGAGGCGGGCTGCAAGCCGCAGCCGGACCCTATTGGATTCAGGACTGAGGGACAGGGAAGAGCTAGAGGGAAAATCTGGTTGAGACTAAGGCCTGGGTGTGCAGTGACTCTAGAACTCTAGTCTATAGGACAGTCCAGAGCTGGAGAAAACATGGGGCAGAGACAGGACCAGGACCAGTCGAGGGATGTGACAAAGGCTTTGTTCACATTACTAGCTAAAGTGACTCAAATTAAATTTTTCCCCTACACGTGTCATAGACTTGATCTTTTCACACATGTGAACAAACCAAATATAAATGTTTTCACATCAGATCTTAGCATATGTTGTGACTCAAAAAAGTTATATAAACCTAGAAATTAGTGAGTTTAATCCATAAACTGTGGAGGATTTTAGTTTTCAAGGCTTCAGGGGTGTTAATCACATACTTTTTCATGTAAGTAAAGTGTCTGAGTAGCTTGAAAAGTGCTCTATAAATAGTATGACTTATCCTTATTATAATAATTTCTTTTTACATCTTCACTGATCACATATGAACAATAGTTTTCTATTCATTGTGTACCTAGCATAGAAAGAGCCATATACTGTTCAACTGGTGATTCCAGCTCTCATTCATGTCTCAATCTCAAACCACTGCTAGATGGTCAAATATAAGTATTTATTGTCAACAGATTAGTGCCTACTGAGGAGGTGTGGGGCTGTCATAGGATACAGGAAGCCAGAATTTTCTACTTGAATCTTGTTTGTCCTCCTGCAGCTGCTGAAGAAACTTTCCCGTGTGCTTTACAACATCATGGTTCTGTTCATTCCCTGGGAAGTGAGGATCAAGAAAATTGAAAGTGAGTTGTGTGTTTCTTCTTCAGATAACGCCCAGATTGCTATCGTTTATTCTGTAGTAGTTCATAGCGGAGGGAACCCTCCTATTCTTACCTGACTATTATACTTCTGGACGTAACTAGACCTAAAGTAATTTTGTTCAGAAGAGTTTTTCATTAATGTGATCAGAATTTATGGTATTAGTTATATGAGGATGGAGGTTTTCAGAGCACAAAAGATGTACTGAAAATATAATTTATACATTTTAATCTTGGTTGTGTACTACTACATCATTGTTTATTTTATGAGGTGTTGGAAACAAGTTGGTCAGATGTTTTTCTTTATCTTGTGGAGGTCACTTTGGGTCGGGTGTGGCCTCCTACTTTATCTTCCTGCGCTGGTTGTTTGGGATCAATATTGTCCTCACCATCATGACTGGAGCCTTCATTGTCCTACCAGAGGTCAGCTACAATAATAGTGTGTGTGTATGTTTTAATTGATTCAGTACATCATGACTTAAGACAGTTTGAAAATTTTATTTAATGCAGGACCTCCCTAGAATTATTATAACTCTGATAATAACCTCAACATGCTAAGCATAAAGAATTTAAAATAGTATATCCTCATTTAAATCCTCACATATACATGGCTTCATACTTTTCACCAATGCACATATTAAACATGGAATTTGTGAATATGTATGATCCCTAGAATTGATCCCATAGAATTTGCTAAAATTAATTTAGTTCAGCTCTCTATTTTGGACTGAAGATCTGCTATAGATGTTAAAACTAATATTCATGCAGATCTGCATAATGCAGATATACAATCTGACACATTTCTCCTCTTTGTTGATTGAACAATAATTTCAAACCTAGTCAAGATACCTGCCCTCTACAAACCTTTATAAACCACTTCACACATCAAAGCCTTTCCCAAAACAGTTTTTTCCAGCAAATCTAGCATACTCCAGTTCAATTACAGCTTATTTTAATGTAGATTCTTCTGACCGATTTCTTTTAGGATAATATATTTCCATCATTATTAATAATATGTTGTGTATTTAGTCCTCATATTTTTTGTTCACATCTGTAAATGTGTTGCAGAGGGTCCTTTATGGTTTGTAGCCTGGGGATTCTCCAGTAGCATCAGCTCAAGTACAAACTGTAGATGAGAACAAGATACAGACAGAGAAATGCTGCTGGATTTATGTTTGTCACTGACGTGCAGACACAAGCAATTTCCATAGACATGACTTATCCTGTCATTCCCAATACCTAATCTTATTCCTTTGATTAATTCTTCTACACGTCGTTCTCCCTTCATCACTTCCTGAGACTAACCTGTCACCATCTCCTCTCATACATTGCCCTCTATATATGTGCTGTTAGTTTTATCCTCCATCAAACATCATGGACACTGTGTCACACATGATATCTGTGCTCGTTTCATGTGGTGAATTGCAGTATATGACCAAGGATGGAATGGAGGATTTGTCCATTATTTTTCATGTAGCACCCAAGCATGCAAATAAGAGGCAATATTTCTGCACCATTAAGCTCTTTTCAGGATTATTTTGTGTCTATGTGAACCATAAACAGTCTTGTTTATGTTTTTTAATATAGTTATCCATTGCATACTCAGCTTTGGGTGTGGTCACACCAGCACTTATAACATTTGCACCAAATACAGTTGATACTGGATGCCTGGGTTTACTGCAGGGGTGCCCAATACATCGATCGGTCGATCACAAAGGTAGTGTTGGTAGATCGTGTGCCATTCAAAAATAAATTAGATGTATCAGGTGTAAAACACGTGCCAAATGTTAACATGCGAATGGTCAGTGTGACGATGCACTGTGGCGACCCCTAATGGGAAAAGCAGAAAGTGACAATCATTCATTTCTACTAAAGGGTATAAAATGAGTGGGGGAGCCGAATCAAGTAAGAAACCAAAAACATTTCATGTGGAATGGGAGGACGACTTTTTTTTCGCGATGTTATATTCGAAATGTGTTGGCTTGATCTACCAATCTACCATAACTGATCCAAAGAAGCGAAATGTGTAGCGGCACTTTCAGACCGTTCATAAAAATTATGACACTCATTCATACATATATTTTTGTGTGTGTGTATGCATGTGCGCGCATGTAGGTCAATCATTTTGACTTGGTCATTTGAAAAGTAGTTCGCATGGCGAAAAAGTGTGGGCACCCCTGGTTTACTGTGATTAGTGTGTTTGCTCATGGCATCTCTGTTTTTCCTTACATAGACTATGTAGTACATGGTCTTTGGTGAATTATTATAATAATGGATTGAACTGTTCTGTGCTTTTATGTACTAGCTGCTGGCTGGAGCTCGGTTTGGAACAACTAGGAGTAAAACTATCCCCAAAGAGCATCTGGCTTCAGCCCAAGACCTGGACACCATCTGGTCTCTTGGGGCAAGACTCTCTTTTCTTTTACTGTTCTGTCAATAGCACATCACTTACAGATACAATAGACCATTATTCAAACATTACATTACTGCCTCCCTGTTTTCTATTCCAGCACCAGTGGAATCCTCTCCCCTTCTACAAGTTACACATGTTTAGAGTTAGAATAATACACTGGGCTCTGTGTCAAAGACGTATTATCAGTGTTAAGTCATATCAATTTTGCATAAAGGCAATAATGAATCATACCCTAGGATGTGATTGATTCCCTTGTCATATCATCTTGTAGTTGTTGTGAACATGTGTGCTTACTCTCCACAGGGCTACCTGCAGTACTCTGTGTTATTCTATGGTTACTATGGCAGGGTGAGGAAAATTGGCAGTGCTGGGTACCGTTTGCCCCTCGCCTACTTTCTGGTTGGGATGGCTGTTTTTGCCTACAGTTTCATCATTCTGTTAAGAAAGTAATCATCCATTAAAATCAATCATTGATAAGCTTTTCAGATCACATAATGACTAGATTAATATGTTGTGTAACAAAAACATATTATGCATTGAAAAGTGACAGTTGCTGACAATAGCTAATAGAGAATAATAAAATAGCATAACAGTTTGGTCACACCAGCATATAATACAGCAGAATTAAAGAGAGACATCAGTTATCTTTAATCACTGCAATATGCAGATCAGCTCAAAACAAATGTTTTGCCTAGAGTTCACCTTTAGGAAGGAAGCACATTGACGGGGCTGACTTTTGAGGTGACACAAGTCTAATGTGCTCCACACCAGAGGCATGTTTTACAGATGGTTATGACACAGGAGTGGATGGAACAAATATTTATTGTGACCATCTACTGCTAACATGTTCCTGGCTGGTGAGGCTGTTATAGCCAATCCATGCCCTTATATTTAAGGTTCTGCCATTTTTTCAAAAATAGTTCACATAAAACTGTTCTTTGGGAACTTTTAAAAATTTTGTATAGGTTTATTTTTTAGTTTTTTTTATGAAATGCCACAATTGCAAATGGCACTGTTACAGCCATGTTGTTTTAAAGAGCCTGTGTCATTCTTATTTTGCTCATTTCCAGCCATTTAATGTTTAATTTTGGGTACCTCTAGATTAGCTTGGTACAGTCCCAAAGCAGTAATTCCATCAGGTAGTGTAGCCCCGACAATAACATCATGGGTTGTTAATCCTCTCATTAACCAGCAACATATCACATGGGGCAGACACACTGGCCTCAAGCAGTCAAAACAAACAGGTACTATGCTCCAGGAGAATCCAGCATTGATGGGCTGATCATTCACCACCATAGGGGCTTCACTGGCTGGCTGATTGTAGGTTAGACCCGGTCAGGTAAAACAGTGAGTCCCTGTACAGGAACATTCCCAGACATGCAGTAACCTCAGGCCCTGTATTTTTCTCCATATCCTCTGGTCACAGTGCAGCAGCAGGAGGAAAAATATATCCACAAAACCAGGCACAGTTGAAAAATTCTGCTTTTACAATGGCACCAGTGAAGTCTTTTTTTAAAAAAAAAAGCTTTATTGAAAATATACATAAACAAGGCAATAACATTGTGAATATCATGGGGGCACAGGTGGATGTCAGGCAGGCTCATATGAACATTCAACTGCCTGGAGATTATGCCCATTGAAGGAAATCCTTAAACTATCAGGTAATGTACTACTATTTTGTTAGAAAAAAGTCGAGAGTGAGTTTGGGAGACTTGTATAAACTGAGCTCCTTCTGCACATAAATACTAGAACATACTGTATGTACACCTAATTTTTTGAGCTTTAGGCCATGTTTAAAATAATTCAAAATTATTGTCAAGATCGGCACGGAAAGCTGCCGATAATATCAAGGGTGAACTCAATTATAGAGCCAGACAAGGATAAGTGAAAAACTGTCTCTTTAATAATAGCACGGACAACAAAACGATACGGAAAACATGAAACACACACTCAGGTCAAAAATACAGTCCAGGGTCAGAGCCAGCAAACTTACATAACCGAGGAATCCACAAATGAGAGATCAGAGAGGGAAGTCCGATAATCCATACACAGAAATAAGTCCAAATCAGGAGGGCAAGACAGAACACAATCCGGGGTCAGAACAGGAAATACAGGCACAAGAAAAACCACTGGAAAGTCTGATATCAGTTCAAACAATCTAGCAGCTTGCCACAGGGTGAGAAGCTGCTATATACTGTTGTGAGCAGGTGTGGGTAATCAGAAGCAGGTGAAACCAATTTGGATAATGAGGTAAAGTTCCCATGAGTCGGTAAGCTGGGGACAGGAAGTCGTATCAAAATAAATGCATGACAGGAAGCAAATGGGACAGAATCATGACAGTTATAACATTAGAAAATACAAGGAAAAGGATGACATGGGCTCTTTAAAAAGCTGATTTTTAACATTAAATTAAATCTAACTGTATTTACAGTGCAATTTCACACTGGAGTACCACAGCACACTAAAATAACAGCAAGCAAAACAAATAGCATCAAATACAAGTATAGTAGACAGAATAAAATACTGTGGAAAATATAAAGTGTAATAAAACACGAGTAAAATTAAAATAGTCAAGTTTTAGTAAAAAGCTAATAAACAGATGTCTTTTAGGTTTAGATTTAAAAAACCTCAGCAGAGTCAGATACCAGCAAAGATATTATTCCATAAGAAAAGACCCTGTGACTTATTTTCAACTCTGGGGACAAAGAGAGCATGAGCTCTAATATATTATGCCGGTACAGAGAGAGAGATTATACAAATTCACCACCTGTCAAAGTGAGGTGTGAAGTTGATGATTTATGGTTTTATGACAGGACAGTTTTTAGCACCTTGGTTCCGGGGCTTTACGACATGCAGCTGCGCCCCTCCCCTAGTTTTTCTGGACTTTCTTGTTTTATAATGTGCACCTGCATGCCATAAAGTGGGGTTTCACATGGGAACAATTTTGCCATTACATTTCTATATCTTCATCAAAGGCTTATATTAGGCTCTCCATAGCAACAGGTCTGACCACTACCATCACAAACTAGGCTTGACACATCAAAGGGATTTTATTAGGACTGACCACAAGGGCACAGATATAGACTGATAGGCATAAAGATTATTCAGGTTTTTCCTTAATAATTCATGGGGTTTAATTTCAATGATGTTTAAACCAGATAGTTTAGTTAGATGTAAGGAATAATTCTTTTGAACTTAGAAAAAGTAGTTCTTTTATATCAAGGAAGATTAACCAGCAGTTTTTGATGCATGTAACACTCTAAAGATTGATGGTTGTTAGGAATAAAACTGAATTCTCTTTTCTCTAATTATATTAATATTAGTCTGATACTTTAAATGATTGTCAGTTTAAAGCATTACTAGTGTCTCCTAGAAGCAGTAATATTTATTACCCTCCATAATACAAATGTAGAGAACCACAGTATTTAAGAAAAAAATAAATAATAAATATTTAATAAATATATAACAATTAAT